GCTTGGCACAGGTGGCTGACGATGCTTTGCGTGAGGTTGCGCTGGGCGGCAAATTGAAGCCAGTGGGTGATGACGTCTTGCAAGGGTGATGGTGCGGTGCTTGGGTTGGAGGGATCTGCTGAGCTGTTCATGCCAGCCCCATCACAAACGAGCGGTCGGCGGTGGACCACCGGTTCTGGCAGAAGATTGCTGAAGTGCGAGAGTGGGACGCGCTTGTGCCCCAGGGAGGAGCAAAAGGGCGCCATCAATGCTGCGAGCTGCTTTGCTAGAGATGAGGGATACTCTGCGGTGAGTGCACTGAGATAGACATTATTCACTCTAACGTTGGCGATGGGCCTGTGCATGCCTGGGGGGCGCGTGCAGGCGCAGGCCAGCGAGGATATGGATGGAAACGAGGCGCAAAGAGCCCAGGACTTGCACAGGTCCAGGCCGTGGTGACATGCAGCGACATGGGCGCAGTGGGCGCATTGCTCTTGCAGAAGCGTGACGTTGTCTGGCTGAGGCCAGGCCATTGACGAAGGCGGCTGCTCGAGACCTGTACGACTGCCTGATTGCCGCGCGGCGCGGGTAACTTGCCTGGATCGTTTTGAGTCTCAGTGCTTTGGTCGACCCTGGCTTGCTCGGCAGGGCTGCTGCCAGGCACCCCATCCACGAACTCTGGGGTGCGCAGAGCTTTGGGGCCGGGCTTGCGTAGCTTCAGGCGTGAGAACTCTTTGCAGGGCGGTGCGGACCACAAAGCCCCCAAAATCCCGCTGGATGCGGTGCGGAGCAGCAAGCGATACTGCGCGTCGTCCAAGATGTCGAACGCAAAGTCTGCGTCGAGGTCAAAAGGCTGCAGGCAGTCCGTGCGCAGTGCTTCCATGGCAGCGGTGAGAGGTGCGTTGACACCTGCAAACAGGTCGAGGAAGAGTTTCGGTGCTGTGGAATGTTTGGCGACTGCAGCGCGATCTGGCTCTTCTGATGAGCTTGACGAGGAGCTAGACGAGGAGCGGCGACGCTTGGCTTGAGGCGGTGCAGGTGGAGCTTGTGGAGCAGGCTGCGGGGCCAGCGCTTGCGTAGCTTGAGGGTGCGGGCGCCGCAGCAACTGGCAGGCAGGGACTGAGGTCGGAGGCGGGTGAACATGCCATGGGCTCTGCGCTGGACATGGCCGAGGACTTAGGGTCAGGGCAGACAGCCTCCGGAGGAGGGTCTGACGCGGGGCAAGGATTAGGGCGCGAGCGCGGAACAGAGCTGGCCTCCAAAGGCGCACCCGCGCCGTGAGCCGCTGGAGGATGTCAGGTGTGCGCTGCAGGCGGTGCGGGAGGCTCTGTTTTGTCTGCCGGTGCTTTGGTGCGGTGTTGTGAGGCAGGGCGGCGTTGCCCGCAGGCCTGGCCATTTGGAAGGCGTACTGCGCAGAGGTGTGCGAATTTGCAGTTTTTGTCGTTGCACTCTGTGCGGTTGAAGCGTAGGCAGAGCGTCTTGTTGCTGTGCTTGAGCTGCAGATTTTTCATCGTCTCAGTAAGGGCGGCCACCTGCCTATCCTCCTTCAAGCGTGTCTGAACTTTGCCGCCTTTTTTGCCGTTGCCTTTGCCACCTTTATTGCCTTTGCCTGGGCCTTTGGGAGGAGGCGGGCGAGCACGGGGCTGGAGCAGCGCGTGGATGTCTGCTCTAATGCTGGTCATCTCACGCAGTGCCTCGTCAAGGGTCCAACCTTCACTGTGGAGACTGGAGATCTCGTTCCACAGTTTGCGGTCTGCATTGAGCAATTCGTGTGTGTTGACGGTGCGGAGGCCGGAGTCTGATGCGAGGCTTTGCGCGCATATATCCAGGATCTTTTTGTCAAATGCTTTGAGGACGGCCAGGCGCGCACCTCCGCAAAGGGCAATGGCGTTGCGAAAAATTTGCTGTGTCCGTGCAAGCCAGGCAGGGCTCAGGTGCGCTCGCTCGATGCTGAGCTCTGGCGTCTCATCGAAGAGTGCGGAGCTCACCAACTGTGCCTCTGTGCGGAGGGCGAGTGACGCGCGGGCCTCCATGATGTCCTGGTATTGGCGCTGAGACACGCGAAGCCACGGAACCCATTTTATGGTGCCTCGCGGTGCGAACCAGAGGTGCACTAGGCTAAGCCGCTAAGCAGGCGGATGCCTGGCATGCAGTCATTATCCAGGCGCTCTCCTGGATAATTTGCCTTGAATGTGCTTTGCATGCGTTGCACTGCATCGGCATCCAAGCGTGGCGGAGCATGCTCTGCCCAGACGTTGGTTGCTGGGGGCGTTGCTGTGCTAGTTGGTGCTGTGCTGGGGTGGCTGTCCTTGGCGCGAGTGACTGCCTTGCTCAAGTCAAGCGCTCTGCGCAAGCGAGCTACTGCGGGACAGTGCTCCGGGTCGGTGACCTGCAGGTCGTCCCAGAGGCTTTGGCTTTGCTTTGCAATGAATGTGGAGAGGTCCTCTGGGGAGGTGTAGGCATAGGCAAAGTCGGAGATGCTAGCGAGACCTGTTTGCTGCAACGCTGTCTGCAGGGTCTCTGGTACCTGCATGTGCGAGAGCAGCTGAGTCAGCCCTTCTGAGCTGTCTACATCCCAAGAGCTATCCATCACGTTATCGACGACTGGAAAGCTTATGTTCGAGCTGGAAAAATGGCTGCGGTACAGGCGAGGGCCTGGGTGCAATGCAACAAGCACAGTTGAACACAAGCAAGAGGGCACGTCTCAAGGCGCCGGCAACCTGAGCAGGGCTGAAGAGTGTCACGCGAGCTAAGGATGCACCTGAAAATTTGTTGGTGCAAAGGCAGGCTGTCTTTTTCGGTCAAGCCGTGAGTTTGCAGGCGGCGAGGCAGGCTTTGCGCCTGCAGAGAGAGACTGGCTCCTTGCACACAGCTACGAATGAGGCAGGGCCAAGGTGCGCCCCGCATGCTGCGCGGAGCTTGCAAACTGCCAAGGAACCAAGCTTTGGAAGAGCCAGCGTGTAAGCTTGCAATGACTCTGCGGCGGGGACGTGCATGCTCCCCCACGGTCCTGAGCACACGTAGGTGCGAGTGTCGAGGTCCACGTGCAGTGCCTCGCTTTCTGATGAGCTGCGCAGGAGAGCATACTCCTCTACTGCTTCGGCTTCTGGGTCGGATGCCTTGTCGCGCTCACCGGCAAGGTCCTCTGGAGGGACAACTGGACCCGTGCTTGGGGAGACGGGCGAGCTGTCTGCGTTGCACGCATGGATTCGTGCCTGGCAGTGCAAATGTGCCAAGGTCCCTCTAGGAGGGACGAGGCTGGAAGGTGCTCTGCTGGATGTGTGCGAGGGGCAGCGAAGGGAGGCTCTGGGACAGGGGCGCTGCCCCCACGAGCCATTGACCGCTGCGGTCGCCAGCCGTCTGCAACTGCAAGCGCGATGCTGCGCTGGATGTGCAAGCTTGCGAAGGTGTCATTGCGGGAGTAAAGGCGCGCGCTGTCACGGTGGTGGCCCTGCGACAACCTGTCGTCTCTAGAGAGGCGGAGCTGGGCTGCAGATGCGAGCGCTGTGGATTTCATGCTGCGCAAGGTCAACAAGCTGGCCTCCGGTGCTGTGAGGGAGCCAGGTACTCCACGGAGATGCATGCAGCGCATGTCTAAGTGCGGAAACAAGTAGTCTGGTTCGACCGTGTCGGCGTGTACCTCAAAGACGGCCTTAGGTATGCTTGCCAGTGCTGCAAGCCAGCGCAGAAGCCATGAAGTGCTTGCGCCGCGACCCGACAGGCCGTGCCAGGTGCAGAAAAAAGGTTGCCCTGCTTTGGTCGTTTTACTTGCGTACGCGGTGGCGCGCAGGCCTTGGGCGCTCAATTGCAGGGAGCCCCAGCGCACGCGCTGTGCATCGCCAAAGCGTATGCTGCTGCGCGCGCAGACCAGAATTGCCCCCAAGACGAGCTTGGTGGTCAGCGGGGTGTCGCTGCGACAGATGCATTGCTCCCACGCAAGGACCAGGGACAGGGGAAGTGGCACTGCCTCGCGTTTATCATATGTTTCCACTTGCTTTGAATAGGAGGTCACCAAGTTGTTTTGCGTGCAGAGCTGGAGGGCTTGCCACTGCAGGTGTCTGGCCAGCCAGCGCAATGCCTTGATGGCTGTGCCTGCATAAAATCCAGGAAGGTGAGGCAACAGGCGATGTAGCGGAATAGCGCGTTGACTGCAAAGGCTGCCAGTAGGCGTTCAACATGCTGCTCTGGGTGCGCGGACTCTGCAAGAATGCTGCGCAGCAGGCCATGAGACCCTACCCTGAGCATGATGTTTCTGAACTGGTCTGTGAGCTTGCGGCGCTTGGACTCGGTGAGCGCCTGGGCAGAAACAAAGCGTGGAGCCCTAGCCTGAGGAAGGCACAAACCGCGATTATACCTGTGAGTGCTACCACGGGGTGGAGGACGCGCGTGGGCGGCCAGGGCTAAGGTGTCATGGCCGGGCTGCTTTGGAGGAACTGAAAACTGCGCAACGCTGGCCGGCCTAGACCAGTTCGATGGTGCTGCTTTTTGCGGGGTCACTGAGCGAAATCTTGCGGGTGAAAATGGGAGCGGGCTTTGGGGTGCCTGGAAGGCGCGAGGGATACTTGACCACAAAGCTGGGTCGAGACCTATCATGGCTAGCGTTGGGTTGCAGATCCGCCACACACAAAGCAGGGGTACTTAAGCGAGGCAGAGCCAGGCAAAAAGGCGGAGGCTTGGGGCTGTGCGATTTCGCTGCGGCCGAAAGGCCAACCGCGCCTTGCAGAGGAATAGAGTGCGCAGAGCTTGATGAGGCGCTGACTTGCGATATCGCTTGACTGTGCACACCCTGTCCAAAGTTTCAGGAGGCGAAGGCGGGCATGCTTGCGCTGAGGCGGGTGCTTGCGCTGAAGTCAGAGGCTGCGCCGGCGCCTCGTGCATCTGCCACAGGGGGGGCTCTCAGGAAAAACCACCTGATATCCGCGTGAAGGTAGAAGTCTGCCGCCTGGAAGGCCTGCCTGTCTACTGGGTGTAGGTAAGCAAAAACAGAGAGAAGCGTTCTGTGGTTTGAGAAAACGCTCTCAAGCAAGAACTCCCTAGCTTGAGCCATGGCTATGGTGCTAGGCGGCGCTTGCTGACAACTGTGCTTGCAGGAGACCGTCAAAGAGGCTAAGATGGGCCTGCTCAGTGCTGGACGCGGCTATCGACCACCTACGCAGGAACACTAAGGACCGCGAACGCCAAGTGAGGGCAGGCGTGGCCTCGAAGGAGCAGTTGGCACCTGGACAGTGCAAAAAGGTGCAACGCGTGCCACAAAAGCTAGGGATGCTATGACAGGAGGTGCTGCAGAAGCTAACCTGCATTTTTTCGATGCCATGCGGTGCTGCGGTGCTGCGCGGCCGGCGCGGAGCAATGCTTAGCCCGCCACTGGCCCTTTCCCTCACGCTGGTTGCGCTGCTCTGCTTTGCAGAGCGAGCATATGCGAGGGCTGCGCACGTCCTGTGCAATGACGCTGGGTTTATAATTGCAGGGCGGACGCCCGTGCGGGCAGTGCGTCTGCGTGCATTGACAGGCGCAGAGCCATGTGTTTGACCTTGCGTTGAGATAGTAAGGATGTGCACCCCACCATCTAAGTGAGGTTTCTATCTGTGCACTGGGCTGCAACGCCGGAGCTGCTTCATGCTGTGGCTGGTGCAGTGCGGTGGGTTGCGACCACTGCTGAAGCGACGGGTTGCCAACTGTCCAGTCGGCATTCACCCATTTGCCCTTGCTTTGCTTGCCACTGCCCCAGCTTTGCGGCGCCTTGCCTTGCGGGCCTTTGCCTTGCGTGACCGAAAAGGACTGCTGTGCAGGAGGCGCCTCGTGCTCCCAGGGGTCGGTGCTGTGCTGCGCGGGCTCCTCCTAAGGATCCTGCGTCCACTCTGCGGCGCCGCGCTTGTCGGATTGCTCTGACATGTCCGCCCAAGAGCGGGCGCTGGAGTGCGGTGCATGGCTGGTGCCCCCAAATTGCGCTGAGGGTGTCGATGGAATGCTAGTCATTGCCGGTCCAGGCGAGTCCGGCCAGCCTTGCGGAGTTTGCTGCGCAGCGCGCTGCTGAGGCGCAGACTGCAGGCGTGCGTTGCTCCCAGGAGGCGGGCCGTGCTCCAGGATGCGCTGAATTCTGCGGCGCAGAGCAGAGTTTTGTTGCAGCGCGGAGCAGAGCTCGGGGTCGGTGGCGTTGCTGAGGATGACAAACGCAGCCTCCACGTTAATCATGTCCATCCAATGCGGCGCGGTGCGAAGGGGTGCTATGCGTGGAGGTTAGAAGCTGTGGAAATGAAAAGTGATCACGCGGTCTGCTGCTACTCAGTGCATGTTAGATAAAAGTTGGGCCGGGAGGCCAGGTGAGTAACAGAAGGCATGGGCCACCAGCGGGCCGGGAAAGCTAGGAAAGTGCTGCCTAGATGAAATTGCGACTGCTTGCTTGTTTGAAGTTAGGGGCTGCCTACCCTTGTGGCACCAAAGAATCTTGGGCCACAGCTTGCGTAGCAAAATGGATAAAGCTGAGCTGCGCCAAGCGAGGCATGCTGAATTCTGATGAGCGCAAATGGCTGAGTGCAAGAAGCTGGGAAGGGCACCTGTACTTGCGGTGCAGCGCAGGGTTGTACCTGCGGGCACCAGGTTAGCACCAAGAAGGGGTGCGTGCGAAAGGACCAGGGGCATTGCGCGCACGTCCAAATCGACAAAAAGCTGTCTGTACCTGCCAGAGTCGGCAAGTCAAAGATATCCAAGCGGATAAAAGCTTGCGGGGCACGCGGCGCCGAGCGGTGCAAACCAAGGCTGGACCTTAGCAAGGCTTAAAGAAAATTAAGCAAGCTGCGCAAGCGGGTCGGTGCTAAGAGCAGGACACTGCACTACCAAGAATGCGAGACCTGCGGCCTGCACATATGGCGTGCGAAGCAGCTGAATGCTCTTGCCTTGCTTGCTGCGGACGCGGTGCGAAGCTTGCGGCGCGTGCCCTGGCGGGGCAAAGCTTCAAGGGAAGCTAAATGAAAGCTGAGGTCGGAGCCTGCTGAGCCGTGCGGGCTGGATGCCTGCAAAGGTGAGTTGCGACAAGACAGGTCTGTTACCTGCGGCGCCGGCCTCCATTAGTCCTCGGCGATGTGGGTGCCCATGACCTGCAGCGCGTGGCCAATGCGGCGCCTGAGTTGTCGAATGTCGGTGGTTGCCTGGCTGAGAGTGTCTTGCAGGCCATCCAGCGCAGTGCTTTGCTGGCGGAGGTTGCTCTGCACATCAGAAATGCGTTCGTGCGCATTGTGCGCGGTGTTGTCCACTTCGTCTTGAGCAGTCCTTAAGCGGGAAAGGCGTTGCTCGAGGTTGCTGCTTTGACCTGCCATGTGTTGTTGTAAAGCTTCGAGCGCTGCGCTTTGGTTGCGAAGCATGCCTTGAAGGTCCGCGACTCGTGTATGGGCACTGTATGCATTGCTGTCGAGCTCATCTTGCATTTCTCTTTGCCGAATGAGGCGTTGCTCAAGGTTGCTTGTGTGCCGCTGCAGCTCCGCAAAGGAAGTGTGCAGGTTGCCGAGTTGCAGCGCCATGTTGCGTTGGTTAATGGTGAGTGTGTGTACACAGTCCTCCAGGCGGTGAACAGCTGCGAAGAGGTCAACGGTGGGCTGTGACGCTGCTCGTCAGTGGCCAGAAGGCACAGCCATCGGCAAGCTCAACATTGTCTCCGCCGAACGCAAAGACCCGCGCTTAGTCCTTGACAGCACCATCTGCAATGCCAATCCCCTTTGCAAGGTGCCGGAACGCGTCAGTCTCCCCACTGCACTAGATGTGCAGCGCACCTTTTTGCAAGGGGACCGCCGCGGCAACTTCATAGGCATGTCTTTGGACTTCAAAGCAGCGCACAAATGCGTGAAAGTGCGCCGCAAAGAACCTTGTCTTCTCTTCCGAGTGGAGGCGCAACTCTACCACTACACCGTCTGCCACTTCGGTGCCAAATTCAGCGCATATTGGTGGCAGCGTGTCGGGGGCCAGCTTCTTCGCATCGCACATGCGCTACTGCAGCAGCACGGTCACAAGGCATGGCTCTACGTCGACGACCTTCTGGCAAGACTGATAATTTTACTTATAGTGTGTGGTTTTTTTCCTTACTGTGAGAGCTCCGGCCAGTCAGAATAACCAAGCAGTGGGCAAAGATGTCCGTGGGGAGGCCACAAAGCATTCGCTTCTGTTGCGCAGTGAAGGCCCTGACTCGCGATGTTTTTTTTCAGCCAAGCCCAAGCCAGTGTCACGAGTGCAGTCTGTGAGTGCAGTTGTGAGGGATGTCTTATAGGTAACTGCCCCAAAGAATTTAAGGCCCTTTTGTTAAGAAACAAAAAAGCAAAGCCCGATACACGCTATACTCTATAAGCGGATGCTGTTTTGGCTCAAAGGCGGATGCTGTTTTGGCTCAAAGGCACCACAAACATGTGGGAAATCAAGCTGCCCACAGGTAGAGCGCTGCGGC